GGGTAAAGATGGTATCTCATTGCGGTTTTAATTTGCATTTCTCTAATGGCTAGTGATCGTGAGCATTTCCTCATGCAGCCACCATACTCTTGTATTCCAATTCAGGGCCTGAAGTTCAAGTTCAAAATCACTACAATGATTTTGACCTTTTTCCCTCTATCTTTCTATTTTTCCAGGAGACCTGGACAGAAAAGGTGCTGGTGATTCTACAGGCAAAGGGGACACTGACCCTGCAAGCTGGGGACACTCTGACCCTCCTGTGTGTAGTCTCAACCCTAACTCCGGTAGGTTCAGTTAAGTGGGCCATAGAAGAGCCCAAAACAGGAAGCTTAAGAATAGTGATTATTCTAGTTTGTTTTTATGTTCCTTGTTTCATGAGATCATTAACAAAAGGAATTACAAATACTCTTAAGGCTAGAGAAATTTTTACCCTGGTAAGTTGGGATGCTCCTTTTTCAAGCTTTGAGGACGAATGCCATCTAATTCACCAAGATGCAGCCAATTTTCACTCTAACTCACCCCACCGCTTATGGCCCCTAGTCAATATAGGGAGGTTTCTCACCCCAGCAGACACCCCTAACCAGCAGGAAGTAGTCAGAAAAGAAGCCACACCCTGTTCCCCAAGATTGAGAAACTTCCAATAAAAGAGGGTATCGGAAGCGGCTGCTTAGGCCCAGCTCACTATTATTACTCCCCGTTGCTAACCCCCACATTGTCTCTTGATCTTGTTTTTCCCTCCAGTTCCAGTCTCTACAAAAGGTTTAAGATTGGCCAATGCTCCTCCTTGGAGGGTGGAAAACAAGTGATGATGATCTAGGAATGACAAACTGAACAAAGCACCCATCTTGGGACAAGAAAACCAGGGTGTCACCAGATAACCCCCAGGAAAAGATTAATTCATCTCGGACATGACCACCTCAAGGAGGAGCTAACACATACTTCTAAGACCCATAATCCTGTCTCTGTAAAAAGCCTTCGGCCAATCTCCAGTTGGGGAGATAGGTTTTTTGGAGGAATCTATTCCCCTCTGTGTTTTATATACTGATATATAATACAACTTTTGCTGCTCACCTCAAAAAAAAATAAAATAAAATAAAATAATGAGAAGACAATCCTGAGGACAAGACAGGCTGTGAGGAAAAAATATATGCAAAGCATATATTTGATAAAACATTTGAATCCAGAATATACATGTATTGTTAAAAACTTTCAAAACTCAACAACAGGGGGAAAAAAACTAATACAAAAATGTGCAAAAGATTTGAACAGGAACTTCACCAAAGATGCTATATGGATAGCAAATAAGCACATGAAAGGATGATCAACTTCATTAGTCATTAGAGAAATGCAAATTGAAACTACAGTGAGATACTACTACACATCTATTAGAATGGCTAAAACTAAAAAGACTCACTGTACCAAGTTCTGGTGAGGACCTGAAAGAGCTAAAACTCTCAGACACTGCTGGTGGAACTATAAAATGGTACAACCATTTTGAAAAACAGCTTAGCAGTTTCTTAAAAAGTTAAAATTATTACATTTATCATAGGATCCAGTTATTTCACTTCTAGGTATTTACCTGAGAGAAATGAAAGCATATGTCCATACAAAGACTGGTACATAAATGTTTTTGGCAGCTTTACTTACAATATCCGAAAACTAGAAACAACCCGAATGTCCATCAGCAAGTGAATGGACAAACAAATGTCAGTATATTCATACAATGGAGTACTGCACAGCAATAAAAAGGAATTAACTATTGATACACGCTACAACATGAAGCAATCTCAAAATAACTATGCTGAGTGAAAAGAAGCCAGACAGAAAAAGAGTCATACTATATGATCTCATTAATATAAAATTCTAAGAAATTCAAACTAATTTATACTGACAGAAAGCAGTTGACTGGAGACTTACAGAAGGGGTAGGGATGGAGCAGGTGAAAGGGATTACAAAAGGGCAAAAGGAAACTTTTTAGGGTGATGGATTTGTTCGTTATCTTGATTGTGGTGATGGTTTCATAGTTGAATACATATTTTAAAATGTCACACATTGTACACTTTAAATATGTTCATTTTATTGTATCATATGTCAATAGGGCTGATAAAAAAAAAAAAATCCATCAATTTGAAAAGCTTCCAAGTAAAGGTACAGGATTAAGAAGCAAAAAGCCATGGCAATAATTGAAAATGAAAACTATCAGAAGACATGCAATCTAAGTATCCCATATAATAGATTAATAATAGAATAGAAGACAGATTAAGAACTATATATACAAGTATATTAGAATATGGTGATTCCTATATTTTTCCATATTTGGGGTAGCCAAAGATGCTTTGAAACTACCCAGGCCTACATCAAAGGAACCAAACTAAATCTGGAGAGCTGGACTACACATGAACTTCCATGGCGACAGTTGACAGGAAGGGGTCTATCTTGGACTGAGTACTATCGCCCCAAAATTCATGTCCACCCTAGACCTCAGTATGTGACCTTATTTGGAAATAAGAGTCTTCACAGGTGTAATTATTTAAGTTAAGATGAGTTCATACTGTAGTAGGAAGCCAAAACCAAATGCATTGCGGTCAAGTCGATTCTGACTCATAGCGACCCTATAGGACAGAGTAAAACCTCCACATAGGGTTTCCAAGGAGTGGCTGGTGGACTCGAACTGCCGATGTTTTGGTTAGCAGCAGTAGCTCTTAACCAC